GCACCTACAATTCCAATATATATTCTCTTACTTATTATATTAACATTCTTTCAATAATAGAGATAATAATTAAAACTTCTTTCTCAATCAACTGCAGAGTGTGAATTATTATGAACCTGTGCAAAAGTGAGCGATTATGACAGCTGTCAAAATTCATTTTCAGAATATGTTTCCTTAGTAACTTAAGCTATTGCAAATTTTTTCAAATTTTTTCTAATAAAAATAGTAAAATGTGTGGACGTTTATCCATGAGTATTGTATATAAAATATTTATTATTAAAATATTGTTAAAATATCGCTATATTTAAAAAATTATTTAAAAAATTGTATTTATTAATATATATTAGAATATGTTTCGAAAAGTGGTAGATCAAGGGTAAAATATCTCTTTTTCTTTCGAAATTTTCGACAAAAGCAGAAGATGCATATTGTTGCCGGAGTTAGCAGGTCTTCTTATCTGAACATCTACTCAAAAATTAATGTTGTTGAAGCATAGATATATGAAGGAAGACCCAGCATGCTATGTACTTTCTATATTATAATGTTAAATCGAAATTGCGCAAAAGAATGAAAAAAAGGCAAGACTGTGGGTATCTTCTTACGAATATAAAGGAAAGAAATGAAACTGGTCTGTAATCTGTAATATTCTTTTCCTTTCTTGTGATGAAATAGTATATATAGCTAGTGTTGAATTTATCTTTATATATCTGTGATTCATAAATTTAATAATTTTTTAGCGCCAACTATGAATAAATCCCATTAAGCGTATTTGAATATTTATACCCTCATGCGTTATTTACGCAGATGCTTCCTGCAACATATATATAATGTTAATATATAAAAATTTCAGCTTTTTAAATTTTGTGTAAATTTTTCTAGATTTATTTAAATTTTGTTATTTATTGTATTATATATGACATTTTTCATTTTGACACATCTATGAATAATTCGTTTTATTAAAGGTGACAGCATTTAATTTATAACGTAATATTTTATGAGACCACGAAAGGAGAGCACGAAAAGCATTCACTTGTTGAGTGTCCATCTGCGTTTATAATCAGCCAGGAAAATGCCGCGAAAATCTTTCAGCAATAGAAAGTTGTGGAATTTTATGATAAAGAGAACTGTGTCGTGCGATTCCTCGTTTAATTTTAAAATACATCATTTGTGTCAATTTATCATAATTGAACAAATGAAAAAGCTTCAAAGAATTTTTGAATTCATTTCACTATTCATTTGCCTCGATATTTTTAGCACACATTGGCATTTTACGGAAACATTTTCATACAATATTATCAAAGTTCTGCGAATTTCTCGCAATGTTTCTCTCTTTACACGCACATACAAGAAGATAAAATCTACTTCCTTCCTAATTCACGTGTCTATACGAGCTCGGGGCAGCGTTACTGAAAAATATACCGTTCACTTTATCGCTGAGCGTAACGCAAATACATTTTTCCGAATTGCATACGCATAAATTTATTTGCACGGTTCAACGAGCTAACGTTCTCTCTGTTTGAAGATGCGTTTATGTTCTCTAAATTTAGATGCAACCACGAAAATGATATAAGCACACATCCGCACATATGTATGTACATACATACATATGTATATATAATATACCTATATATTATATATATTCTCTCTTTCTCTCTCTCTCTCTATATATATATATATATATATTTTTTTTTTTTTTAACCAAGCGTGGGAATCTCATTACTGGCACTTGCAGGCTTGTCGGCTGCCCGCATTATGCACAGGTGCAGACGCGTGTACACAGTGGTCTATGCACGCGGACGGAATACGCATACAGAGATCAAGCGACTCACCCTCGCCTCGGTCTGTTTGTCGTTAATACATGCGAGTGACACTGGCAGCGTGTCTCAGCATGTGAACCTCGAAAAAAATGTTCATTTGCGAAAAACTTTCTCTGATATTTATATATATGCATTTGTCGCTAGTTTATAATTTTGAGCTTTATTTACCTTCGAGATTTATTCATCGGAAATTATGCGTACCAGAGGTACGAAAGAAATATCGTACAACAATTTGATTAAAATTCTGAAAAACTAACATGAAAAAAAAAACCGATACAGCAACTGCGATTTACTAGTACATTTTGAAGCGTAAATTCGACTATTTGCAAATGCCAGTATGAAATATTCATTTGCGTATTTTTCAAACTTTTCTCCCGCGTTACAATATATAATATGGAAAACAGACAGTATAGATCGTAATAGATATTTTATAAAAATCGTATAAAAACTTAATATAGAAAAAAATTATTTCGCGATATTTTATTCAAATTGCATTTTAAATAAAAATTTCCCGAATTAAAAATATCAAGTATTTTTTCCTATATTGTTTCGTATTTCTATTATTAAGATAATATTTACGCGAGTTCCAGGATCGACGATACTTTAATTTAATTGTATTAATTGTGTGCAACGCAATCTGCGTATTAAGTAAAATACTCTATATCTTCTGATTGTAAGTCAACGTAAATAATCGCTAGGCTAAAATTTCACTAAAACATATACAATATATACATATATATATGATGCGATTCAGTGTCTTCTCTTAGATATGAATCGCAGTCCCTGAGCTTATTCCGCGATATCTCGGAACATATATACATATCGGGCGACTAATCCACAGATAAAATTAGATGCGCCGGCGACGGCGAGGTCCCGCGGGACGTCGGAGTCGTCGACGCAGGTTAACAAATTGGCGACACATGGGAAATCTTAGGTGTCTTTACTTCTTCAGCAGCACTTACGGATGCATGGAGCTACTCTTTCTTTTTGCGTTGAAAATGTATAACCGGAATTTCCCACGTGCCGAGTCGCGTTATTTCTATTCTCTTGCTTCGCGACCGATTCGACTGAACTCGATGTTTGTACCCATGTATACGTATGTATGTGTAGGTTCATATGGATATGTGTGTGTGTTAAATAATAGCTCCAATCGCAGATGAAAGATTTATTATAATATGGACAATTATATAGGTGACCTGTGCGGTCGCAAAATAGAAGTCAGCTATAATTACTTCCCAATAACCACTTCCAAATAAACACTTCCAAATAACCTAATAAAAATAGGTAAATTGCTCGATATTAAATGAATTATATAGTAGTTCAAAGTGGGATATTTATGAAAATATAATCGTAGCTTGATATGACAGTTTCATAAACGAGACTGCATTATTGATGCAACAGAGACTGAAGGAAAAGAAACAAAAATTTTAATAAAAAATGTAGAAAGGCTCTCTCTTTTCCACGGTAAAATGATGGAATTGTCTGAAAGCCAGCTATATTATTGATTTTCGTGAATATCTGTTAATTGCGATTTGTTGCATCGTGCTTCTATTGGGGTTTACCGAAATCGTCAAGGGGGAGGGAGAGCAAAATATCGTATCATGGTGAACAGCGAATCGATAATTGTTACATCGTATAGAATGCGGCGCAAAACGATTAACGGCAGTTTTTTAATTGGATACATTTTCGCGGTATTCGATGAAAAACATTTCGTCGAACGAAACATGAGAATGCGCTAGGGAAATAAACGAGCTGCGGTTGTTACCTACCGCGATCTTCATTGCTCGATTAATGCGGAAGGGATGGGAATTTCTCGGAAAATAAAAATAGTATGTAATGTTCGTTTTAAACGCGTCGTTACAAATCACTACACGGAAATGCACGCATTATGGCGGTTTATGAATTAACAAGTACATGTATCGATGAATAATACAGTTCATTTCCATTGACGTCTATTTACTATAAGATAATTCGTCTGCAATATTTTCTAACAGAAATGCTTATCCAATATTAATATGCAAAAATATAATTCTAAATCGCATGTCAGTTTTATAATTAAATGATTTAATGCGCATCATTTAATCGTTGAAGAAACTGGAGCAAAATTATACAAAAGCGGAACTATTCAAATATTTCCTTCTACTCTTGCAATTTTTTTTTACTAAAAATATATTTTGAAGCAATTTTGAAATATATAATTTTTAAATTCTCGTTCTAAATACAAAATTAAATTCGAAACGAGAAGGCCGGGGAATGGGATAGGTATTATTGTGATTTAGTTATAAATTATTTAATTTTATCAGCAATCTCTACAGGGCAGCTTAATAGCGAAAAAACGAATCGCCATTAACGCGCATATTAAAGCTGAGCATTTGGCCATCGAGAGGTGCAATTCACGTGAAAAACGAGTGATACCGCGTCAGACAGTGACTTTTCAGAGTGACGAGAGAGAGAGAGAGAGAGAGAAAGAGAGAAGTGCTCTCCAGCGTACCGAAAACAGGCATGCATAGTAAATAGATGGACGAGAACTTCCGAATTCCGTCATTCTCGTGTGGCAGTTCGCTGCCGGCTGGACGTGTTTAATAAAAGCGCCAGCGGAAGCAACGGCGATGGAAATTATCCCGCATTCTCTCGTCGAAGAGCGTGGCGTGAAGTTTAATATTTCGTCGCCGAAAGAGCTCGCAGGAAACTTCAACGTACACGATAATGTCGCGCAGTTACGCAATTACGTGACATAGATTTACACGGAGACGCATTTATGCCCGCGGAAATACTAAGTAGATCCCGCGGAGCGGAATTAAACAGCACTTTCCTATTACGCGCGCGACAGGTTCGCCTTTGAAAAAAGTTCTTTACGTGAAACTCTCTTTGTGAAACACTACACATATGCGCGATGATCAAAACGAATGCAACGGTGAAGCAAAATGCAATTTTATCTCGTTTGCCGTACTCCCTGGAGTGCCTACATATGGTATGACAAATATGCTGATAAAAAAGAGGGAAAAAAAAGAAAAATTGGGAGCTTTGGGAAATTTCAAAAATTGTACATTCCGGGTCCCGTTAGTGCGGTATTTTAATTTCTTTTTTTTGCGTATCACATTCAATGATTGGTCCGATGAGATATCTCATTGTTATCCAGTTTATACGTATTGTCTTTAATAAATTATGTAGACACACACTTACCCTTTGAGGAACGCCCATTCTTGCCCGACCGTGTCTGGGAGAGCCTTGAGCTTGCTGGCCCTGTTTCTCTTTCCTGTGTGTCTTCAATCCTCGTAATAGTCTTGAAAACGTCGTCTTTTTCTTACTCGTATTTTGTCCCTGTTCTGTAACAACAGAGAAACGGAATGAATTATTAAAGGGGGCGAGTTCTCAAAGCAATAATGGAATATTATATGGATTTAATGCATAGTAGGATAGGGTCCCCTAGAGAGGCCAATGTTTTCTCGATTATCATTCATGATAATTATTCGTTGATCTCTAATTGTTTATTTATTACAGCCTCTCGTTTGTGATGCCATATGTATGTGTGTACTATGTATGTACATATGTCAGATTCAAGAATTATCTCTTTGCAATTTAAATCGGCCAATTTCACTGATATGTGTATTTTAAATGCATATTGATGGTCCAATCAAAATTTTAGAACGTAACTAATCAAGAGCGAACAATCATACATGCAAATAAAAATTTATTTTCAGATTATTTTTGCATTTCAATTCTCACACAAACAGAATCAACATTATATTTGGCAGTGAAGAAGACAAAAAAATCAATTTAATATTATTAAAATACACGAAAAACTTTAATTACTTTTCATGTTTTCGAACGTTTCCGCTTTTTTCTAGACTTTGCGCAAATTATGAAAGGCATGCGAAAACAAAACAAAACGAATAGTCAGAGTTTTTTTCTTTTTTATAATAACGATAAAATTATTTTGTTAAAACCATTACGCATGCGTCCACGCATTATGTTATATACTCAACTTTCTAATTATAAATCTGAAATCTATATCAATTTTATAGTATAATATAGTGTTTGGATCATTTCATGAGAAGAACATTTTTCTTTGTCATTAAAATCGATTATTCTAAAAGCGCTTCGTCAGTATAAATGCTTCGAAATCAGATCAAAGACCAAAGTGGAAAGACTTCGATTATTCCTTTTATAAATTGCAAACGCAATTTTAAGCTTTCACATAAATTGTATTCCCCTTCGTTGAACGAACAACGTAAAATGCATTTATAAGCGATGAGATGGTTATGAAATCGATACAATCTTTTATAAATATAGGTTAATACATATTGCAATTTTTAGAATGATCATAGTCACATTCATTTTGTTATTAATGACAAAGACCGACATTCGTGATTTAAATCGGATCAGAGCGGATTTTAGTTGTGCCATTTAACGACCGATGCGTGAAAATCTTTCCAAAATTCCCAATATGAGTAGCAATACCACAAGTTACTACCAATCTCGTAAATAATCGAATCAATTGGGGTTGCCCGCAATATTGCTATTAGCAGATAATTTAAATGTGCTGTTAGTTGCTTCCTCGTACAATGGCGGTTATTATATTATATATAATGTCAATGCATCCGTTTATTAGCATATAGCCTCACTTAATTAGCGACTTTTACGACTTTTGGGTACAAGCTTAATTGAATTATTGAGTTTTCAATCGAACAGCGTAATTACCAAAATATCTTGCGAACTATGAGACTTAATTAATAATTATATGCTATAACAAAACAGTATTAATTAAAACTGGACATTCGGTTGAGTAGTTTCAAAATTTAATAAGTAAAAAATCCAATAATAAGATGCAATTTAATTCGACCAAAACCTGGCTATTCATTTATTGAAAATAAGTACACACAAAGAAAATAAGCTGTGTGTACTTATTTTCAATAAATGAATAGCCAGTTTTTGGTCGAATTAAATTGCATCTTATTATTTGTTAAAATTTCATCACTGGCGATCAACAATTAATTGTGAAGATAAAAAAATCAATACAATAGTGCCACAAAATAAATCCTGAAAATTTTTATAATCTTACTCAATTTATTCTAATATTGACTATATAAAATATCGTATTAACTTAAATAACATAATTTATTCTTCATAAACTATTATATTTATCATCACATAGAGAAATTCACTTTACTTTGTGTTTTATCACTTACCAATTCGTTAATTTTCAATTCTCATTCCGTTGAAACAAGCATCTCATAATTTAGCGTCTGCACGGCGCTTTTTCGGGGATGCATTTCATTTAAATTAAAGGCAAACGGTATGCCTATATTTACGAAAAACATTTTGCAGGAAAACCAATAAAAGGTATTAACGTCGTTGGGATCGTTACTGAGTATCCAGTTATATCGCGGCACGCGCAATTACGACAGTATCGTTAGCGGCGCAATGTCCCGATAGCGATGATATTACAAAATGAAGTTAATGCGCGAGAGCGGCAAACTGAATTTTCCCCGGCGAAACGCGCGCGCGCGCGCGCCAAAGTGTTTACCGGGTAGGTACTATTGGTTGCGACATCCAAGTCGGCGGTAACCAGCGATATCGTGATTTAATCAAGGACCATCGTAAAGCAATAATTAATGCCGCGTTATATCGATTTCGGGCGAAGCGACGCGTTAGGACAGCGTAACGTGTTAATTAGGGGACACGATGGGTGGAGAAGTGGGAGACTATTATGCATGCGGGTATTTACATAGAAAATTATTCGTGCGAGAGGAGAAATGAATTAACGTTGTCGCGCAATTATTACGGTCCGCATTTTACGAACGCGTTTCGGTGTATAATGATATCGCCTGTGAAAATTCTATTATTAACGTGACAAGCATTAAATGAGACTTCAGCTTCTTTATCTAAATCGGCGTTGCGCGTCATTGCTCAGTGTGCATTTATTTTTTTGTCTGCGATCTTAATACTTTGTATCTAAAATAGACTGACATTCGATGTGAATATCTATAATAAAATAAGTAAAATATTTAGAAAAATGCGATAAATTGATAGCTAAGATCGCAAGAAGGAATATTATATTTATCTCTGATCCCGCACACATCAAGAATCAATTGCCTGCCACTTTCACGAAAATGGATTTGCGCTCCTCTACGGTTGCAATTACTCACGGCCGCAATTAAGACAAGTTACTAACAAGGTTTCCTGCGCTCAAGTGCATCTTCCGTATGTGGGTTAACGGATCACCATGCGGCAGCATCCGTCTTCCGCCGGACGAGCCTTACCTAACAAAAGGGTTTCCAGGAGCCGCAGGAAATACTGGGGGCTAATTTCTGAAATCGAACCAGCTGCAACGATTCCGCCATCCCTGCGCACCCACGAATGGGGGTACATCCATGAATTCCCCGGAAGCCGCTATTATTCTAGAGAGGATCGTACGTATTTTACCGCGGTTGGCGGCGGCGAGAGAGAGAGAGAGAGAGATAGAGAGGAGGAACGATGCGATATGGGCAAAGAATACAAGAGACTCGCGGGACCACGAGAGTTGGAATGTCGTCCCGTAATATCGGAAATATATCGCCGGGGCTGTAACCACAAGTCATGTTCAATCGAATGAATCGTATGGAATAAAAATAAAACCTGCCTACCGTGGAGAGACGAAAGGTCCAATACTTTCGCGGGTATCCTGACGCGACGGAGGAAGAAATTCGAGAGAAAGGAAGACATCGGAGAAGAGAGAGAGAGAGGAGAGAAACGACGTGTGGGACGGGGAAGACCTCGAGGGGGATCGAACAAATGTTCCGGCGGCACATGCATCAAATCCTGAAGTTGCGTGAGAGATGGAGTCCCTGCTTGCTCAGCGGCGAGCCGCGCGATAAAACGGCCGGGCCGAGTTCGTCCCTCTTCGTCGTCGTCGGCTCGTTCACCAGTTCCGAAACCAAGTTCGAGCAGTACTTAAGCGAGCACGTGAGAGAAGAGGAAGAGGGTACAAAAAGTGTCTAATATACGTCTCTTCCTGGCTCGTGATCAAATTTCGAGCTCTTGAATTCAATGATACCACGAGCCAACGAAAGCTCTCTCCTTTTACGAAATTCTACGAAACATTTCGGGATAATCGTTCGCCACGTGCCTACTTAGGTAATCAACGTCAACGTTTGTACGCATCCATCTTCGCCGACATCGATACGAGTATTCCCAGTCATCGACAAAGTTCGGTGCCGAGAGGGTAACAGCTGACAGGCTGTCCGGGAAATTGAGACGAAAGGATCTCGAGAAGAGAAAAAAAAAAAAAAATACAAAATCGCGCGCATCTCTTCACAATTTTTTTTGTTAACGTTGTTGTGAGTTTTAAAGAATATTTTCAATTACTTTTGGTAATTAAAATTTGCATTGTTTTTTAGAAACATTAGTTGTTCTATAGTTGTTCTTATTAAAAAAAAAAAAAAAATAAGTTTACTAAAATCAATTCGATAATTTCAATAAAAATGTATAAAAGTAGGTATAAAAATAGATTTATCGTTTCTTTATAATAATTGCAAATTTATTAATCTTTCTCAATATATAATTTAATATAAAATATACCTTTATTTATATAAATTCTCGAATATCGACTGATTTACATCGCATTTATTTGACGCTCGAAAAATAAAAGATCCAGTTTGAAAAATAATTACTTACGTCCGCGGGAAATGTATATCACTTAACGATCTTTCTCTCGTCGCGCTCAAGATACTCAACGTCAACAATAACTTTCCGACAATGATTAACCCTGATTGTGACGGGGAATTTACTCGCAATATACCTGCGCGTAAAGAACGGAAATGCATGCTCCTTCCGGCGCGGCGACGATGCCGAAAGAGAGGAAAACGAGAAAGAGACGGAAGACACAGAGCGAGAGCAAAGTGAGATACGGGGAAATAGCTTGCACCAAAAGACAAATACGGCGCCAGACTCGGTTACGTTACAGCCGGCTGCATCCGCGCGACACTCTCGACACGGTTTTATACGCCGCCGCTGCCTCTCCGTCTCTGTCCTCTCGACGTACTCTAGATTGTAAGTACGTACCCCGGGAGCTTACGCGAAGGTGGACACGAAAAATTATCCAATCCCCGAGATTTCGTCCCGGAACGTCCTTCGTCTTGGCTTCGCGCGCTCTGGTCCCCGACCATGGATTTAAACGTCAACGCGGATAATCTCCTTTTTCACCCAATTCTCTCTCCCTTTTAAGTAAAACGTTTTTTTCCTCTAGTGATAGATAAAAAGGCCAACTTATCGAGCAATTATTAGAGCTGTCTGATAAAATTTATTCCATGTATGTATAAACTAAACATAAAACATTATGTGAAAG